TAAAAAATTTCAATTATATTGTCAACTATAAACGATTTTTGAAATCTAATGTTTCGGACGAAGTAATCTTCACACTTCGTCGCGAACGCATGATATTTTCTTTTACGAGTCCCAAATATATGTCAGAAACGTAGAAGCTACCCACGACAAAACGGATAACCGGTAACGAGAAACTTTCCGTCGGAATTGGTTGTTTTAACAACTGTGTAGCACTTTGAGATGCGTTTTATATAAGGCAGACAGAGATGGAAAAAAAAGAAAGAAAAGAAGAGGAGAGAAGCAGGCGTAGTGTGAAGAAGCTCCCAAATAGTGGATGGGCGAGAAAATACGCTGTTCTCGCGGAAACGCGTTTCTGAGGTACGAGAGCTACGAGCGTAATAGTCCAATTTGCCGGCAAAGAAAAATACCGCGGAGAATCCTGCAAGTAAAAGAAGATTTGCCGTTGCCGCTTTGGGCGGTGGTGGCGGTACTGTTCGGAAAAGACTGCTGGAAAATTGAAGATGTGCGGAAACACGATGTGGAATAATGTGAAAATGAAACCTAAACGTCCAGCTTTCGTCGATTTTCCGCACAACGAATTTTTGCAAATTTCCTTCAGCACTAATCAAACAACAGTCACGTCCAAATGTGTATGGATTATAAAATGTCACAAAATATAAAATACTTTCATGTCTCAAATAAAAGTATTAGACACAAGATTGCAATTGAAAATAAAATTAGAATCCTGTGACTTCAAGAAATAAATATCATTGCGTTACGTTATATAAGTGACATTCGTAATTTGAAAAGAATTATATAAACTCAGATACAGCTAATATTTAATAAGATATTTAATAATAATTTTGTAACACCCAGTCTTGCACGGAGATATATTTTACGTCAAAATATTTTGAGAAACTAGTGATACTAAATATACCTCAGCACTACGTTAATCGGTAACAAGATACTTTTTTTATACTCGAAATTCGAGTACATTTGACACGCCTGTTGTCAAATCTTAAATCGGCTTCTTAAGGGCGTCTATTGAAATATTATTATCCTATGAAGCTTATATTTTCTATAACTAGCTTATATTTTCTATAAAACTAAATAATTATTGACTGTTTATTTTATCTAAATTAAAAATAAAATCTTTTTAAGGAATTAAAAATTCCATCAATAATCCGTTTTAGATCATTTTCAATAAATATATCACCGTTCGTTATTTAATATTTTGATGATTAAAGTCAAATTATTACACATATGCACATGCACGCACGCCCGCATACATATAAATATTTAAATCAAATATTAAAACTATATATTTTATTTCTAAATAATGCTGATGCTTAAATTGAAGAAAATTATTTTTAATCTTTTTCATAATTTTCAATAATTATAATTACTAAATATTTCCTTCTTTTCTCTTTTAAATATACGCGCGCGCGCGCGCGCGCACGCATATACTACTAATATTATTTTTATAAATTATTACTTTTCACTAACTTAAGAATTCTTATAAACAAATATTCTAGATTAATCCATACATCTAATTCATTAATATTAATAAAAATAATAGGAATTTCAAAAAATAAACGTTATACATGGCAAATTCTAAAAAATTGCTATTGATAATTAATTATTCGAATGTACAATGTAACAATAGATATTGTTTGTATAGTAGTGCAAAAGTTCTTCCCCATTAGATAAGCAAAGCTCATCCTCGGTAATCATTTTCAACTTGTCGTCTCCTGTTTTGAACGACATCGCTTTGCGGGCCAAGCGGGCCGCGCTTAATGGCTCGGAAAAATCGAAATCATCGCGCACATGAATACGTAATCAATTTTTTTCCGTCTTTCAATGTGCACCAATGATGTCATCATATGGCGATAATGGATATAGCATCTGTAGAACTCATAGCTGAAGAAATGAAAGTGACAATTGCCAATATTATTTATTATTAATATTTCGATTGTATTTCCGCCTTGTAATTTGTATTTGTATTACTCACTATTATTTAAACATGATTAAGTAACAAATTTAAAATTTCTTGCAATCTATGAAATAATGTTTAACGAAGCAAACCTTAATTTTTAGTTTTTATTGTGTTATTTTTGGAAGCTATATATGTAAAATATAATCATCTATTGTCCACTTAATCAACGAGACAAATTTATTATTCATGTGTACGTACGATATTTCATATTCGTAAACAATAAACATAACACAAAAATATTACAGAATGAATAGAACAAAAGTATCACATATACATATCATACAAATATAATCAATTTTTCACTAAGTGTATGTTCATTCTTGAAAAAAGCATCTCGATATGAATGCATTTCGACAATAGCTTGCCATTTCGAAAAAAGATTAATGCATTTCATTACAAACATCGTAAAAACGCTTATATTACTTTGAAATCTGTCTGCATATAAAAATGTTATATTTACGTTGTGTCGTTATGATTCTTTTTAATTATTACCCTGTCAAATTTTAAACAAATTACAATTTTCCACAGATGTATGTTTTCTCTTATAAAATCAAGTTTTTTAATCTTTATATTTTATTAGGTTTTTAAAGTGAAGACATTAAATATTAAAAAGGATTTAAAATTATCCTTATTCGTTATTTTATTTTAATGTGCATACTCTATCTCTTTCTCTTTCTTTCTTCCTCTTTCTCTTTCTTTAATAAATTAATGTCATAGCTAATTAAATAATTAAGAATTACGTTTTGATGATATTATAATAATATTAATTAAAAATATTGTACTTTTATAAAAACTCACCTGGACTTGTATTGGAGAATGATCCTTTTGATTGCGAAAATCCTAAAACACAACAACGAAAATAGTATTAATAAAAATATCGATTAATAATTAATTAAGTAAAGTGTTAATAAATAATTAATTGTACGCAAGTTTAACTGATAAATAACCGGAAAATAAATTTATCTTAAATTTAAAGAAATAATAATAATTTAAATTTACTTTTCTTTATGTATTTTTAAATAAACAAGTACATGCATACATGCGTATTATGCATTATTTTGATTAACAACTATGCGGAATTAATTTAATCATCATTTCAATATTGTGCTTATTAAAGTATTTTATATTTCAATGTTCTTGATCTTCTTTTAATCGATTAACATATGATAAACGAGAGCATTCTTACTTTGTTAACATATCTTCTCTATAAAATATGAATTTTTTTGCCTGATGTTGCGAAAATTAATGTTCTTAAATTTTTAAGGAATTAACGCATAGTATATTCTTCTATTTAAATGCTTACCGCTTAAATATTTATGTAAATGTTAATTACTCCTTGACTATCAATTAGTTTCCTAATTCTTTTGTATAATATTGACGTAGATTCTTTTTTTATATTTCAGAAAATATACGTCGCACATTAAGATGCTTCACACAACGAAACCACGTTCTGATAAAGTCATCTCACTGTGCACACCGTAAATACTGGGGTAGCGAAAAACAGGGGTTGGAAAAGATTTGCCTTCTAAGAAAGTTGGGGCTTGTTGGCGACTGCAAGATAGACTTCGCGTTTTACGAAGGGAAAGTCGGTGGCAATGATGGTAACGGAACTTCACCCTCAAACGACTTTAACGAGCTGGCATCTTAAAATAGGGATGCCAAGCTTGACCCGGGTTTGCACATTTGTTTGATAAATTAATCTAGAAAAGTACGATCCCGTCAACGAACGATTTAACAAGCAAACTCACCGTTTATTTTGCAAAAGATAGTATATTTCTTTAAGAAGAGTTGTACAGTACCCTGAGTATAACGATACTTATATAAAGATGATTGCCCTACGTTTATTAAATCACTCATCATTTATCTTGGATCACTGAATTGTATCTCGCGATAATGGACGCATGACATGTCTCAAATCATAATGATATTGTACAATAAATTTAATAGAATAATTGAGAGAAAGAGAGAGAGAGAGAGAGAGAGAAAAGAGAGACTTGTAATTTAGTGACATTTTCATTGATATTCATTGATTCAATTGACAAGACATATCAAAACATTTCCATACCAGCATCGTTATAAAAAAAAAAAAATTTTTTAAATCAAGATATCATTAAATATTATTGTATACCTTTTATAGAATGCTATTAATTAGACCATTGTATATGCAATACAAAGTATAATCGTAAGTACTGTTCTAAATATCTCCGGAGAAATTGAGTTGGCATTCGGTGCAAATAACATATATATCACGTGTAAAACTGTTCACTTGAAATCTCAATAGTGTTAGACTGATATGGCATTCTTCGGTTTTTCCTATCCATTTTTCTTTCACGAAATCGGCGGCTGCCGAATGTGGTGAAACTTAAACCTCAATCGTGCACACGGGTGGAAGGTTTCAGATTTTTTGAAAACCTTATAATGCGCATCGCCTCGTACGCCAGTTGATGCGGCAGAGGGGCGGGAGCGGGACGGACACACAGAGACCCCCATTGAGAAAAATCCGTTTCCTAGGCTCGTGTTACCCAGCGTATTTTGACAAGATCTTATTGTCGTCGCACGGCTAAGCCCTATTGACCCTATTATGGTCCTATTAGTATTATACTAGGATTTGCGGTTACTCCTTGAAAGGCGTTCTCCACGGGTCTCTTTTACGGTCGAAGGCGTGTACGCGGACGGCTGCGAGACGCGCCGATTCATTCAACACGTTGCTCGAACGTATCTTCTCGATAACTCGACATGCAATTTCCTCGAAAGGAATCGAATCCTCTCTGTTCTTAAATTTGCGTTTGCCGTATGCAGAAATTAATGGAAATTCGAGAATATTTGATAAATAACTGAATGTGAGAGAGAGAGAGAGAGAGAGAGAGAGAGAGAGAGAGAGAGAGAGCAAGAATAAGAGAAAGAAAAAGAATATATGCCTATTAAGAGGTAAAATCAATAAAGTCAACATGAAAAAACAAATTAATATAATGAGAATAATAGAAAAAGAAGAAATGTGATCATGTAATGTAGGAGGAAGAATTATATTAAGGAAAAACAAAAGAAGACAAAATAGGACAACTAGTTGCAGAATAAATAAGTACAAAAATGCTATGATATATACCGGAAAAATCGGTATATTAGAAAAAGAGAGAAGAAAAGAAATGGAAAAGAGAGAAATGAAATACATGAATAACGATGAGATGAACGAACGGGAGAAAGACGAATAAAGTAGGGATCAACAAGGAAAGGATTTTACGGACAAGGAAGAAGAAGACTGTATGCCAAAGCTACGAGAGCAAAAAAGTAAAGTGATCAGGGGAGAAAAAAAACGCAAAAGAAACGTGTTATGGCAAAAGGTGATGAGGGGAAGAGGGATAGTAACGACGCGTGTGTATTCGAGGCGTGATTTCATGTATACTCGCGAAGTACTCTTTAGCGAGGACAATCGAGGTGTTGGTCTGGAAATCGTCGTACCAATTTGCGCGACTTATTCGCTTGAAAGCTCAACAACGAAATATACATACATACGTATTTACATATACGTACATACGTATGTATAATATATACATATGTAAACGCATATGTACGTGTACATGCACGCGTGCGAGTGTGTGCGTGCGTGTGTGAGTGAGAAGGGTATATATTTTACTTACATGTGTACGGATTAAGTAACATATTATGAGCAAAGAATATATCAGAGAGAGCGACGTAAAAAAAGAACTGCCCTCTCACTAACAATAAATAAAGCTATTGAGGAATTAAATTAAACGATATAAATTAAAGATAAAGAATAATAGATCTCATTTTCAAGAATAAAGTGATACTGCACAAAATAAAAGACAACTTAATTAATGTGACAACAAAATTTAAATTTATAAATTAGTCATATTAATAGCAGACTTTCTGCTGTATAACAAAAATTAGTTTAGTCATAATATTTTAAGTATTTAACTTATTTAATTAATTAAAAAGAAGAAAACTATGTAAAATAATAACAATTATAGGTAATGTTACGTACATTTATATATTTTTCAATTTTCTACAGAATAAAATATTTTGAATTTACGATATACGATTTAATATACTAAATAATATATTCTAAATAAATGTACGATAAATGTTATTATACGCATATGACGTAAGAAAAGCTATAGTTTGCTCAAATTTTTTAAACCTTTTTCTCAATTTGTCCTGGTACGGCAACCCAAAGTTCAGCTTTCGTGGGGTGCTATACTTTCGCGGGGCACAGTAATGGACATAGTTTGTCGGTAATGTCCGAGACTAATTCCCGTGTTATTTCATTAACGTCCCGCAGGTCCCGAGGGGTGAAGTTTCTGCGCCAACGGGGTTGCCACTGTCGCGCCGACGCGCACAGCCATAGCTGTTCCCGGTCCCCGCCGGTAGAACGGGGTTCGTATCAGGCGCGTGTCAAAGGGTGAGAATTTACGAGGTGAGTACCCCGCACGAAAAGGCCGATTGATAGCCAGCCGTATGTACGCGCCGCCTTGAAACAATGCCGACAAGTTTATAATACGACGAGTCACACATCTACTGCGTTAACACGCATGTTTTACACGCAGAAGTGGTAGATCGATCATTTTGTATATCGATATTGCAATGCCAGATTCTTTCCAAATCAATTGTGATTTTTAGCCGTTATAATATTAAATA